TTTTTGCGGATTTGGTTGAAACGCAAATAATATTCTTATACAAAAAAAAAAATACCAAAAAATTGTTATTAAAAAAAATCAACAAGCGGTTTTTTGAGTCGCTGTATTTATCTATAATAACTCTAGTTGAGGTTTTTGAATTGGTAAAGTTTCTTTGTTGCCTCTAGTTTCATCACTTTCGCTTTTGGTTGAATGAAACTGAGAAGATGTCATTCATATGATCACAAATACCATATAATTAGTTTAATAAAAAAATCCTTAAAAACTATTTTAATTATTGATGATAGTTTTGGTGACCTTTCCACTTCGGCTCGAGCCGGCAAAACTAACAAATTATTTTAATCATTATTTAAATGACTAAAAAATAACAAAACTATACTTTTTATTAAAATAACTAAAAAGGATATTTGTAGGTATTTTCCACATTTAGTAAATTTTTAGATCCTGGATCCGTGTTGTCCTCGAGTCGTCTTCGTTTTCGTTGTGGGCAGTGCCACACCCATTTTCCTAAAATTTTATGAAAAAATTTTTTTTTTGCTTAAGAGCCATTGTATATATCAATTTTGAGCAAATATTGATGAGCCCCTTAGCCACACTGCTCAAAAAATCTGCACGTCCGGTACATACATACACACAAATAAATTCAAGACCGTATTTTGGCTTAAATTGCTTAACTTCGGCAATTTTTATGCAATTGCATTGTTGAGGATCAGTTTATTCGAAAATAACACTGGTCTACAAATTTCAACTTTTTTTCTGCGAATAAGACGGGACCTGGTGTTTCTGAACGGATTTTTCGTGCTGAACACGAATCCGGGGTCAAAAATGTCCCATCACGTCACGTTTTCGAGAAAAAAGGGGTTGAAACCCCTAAAAACAGCGTTTTTGGCCATTTTCGAAAAATTATAGAGCTGAACCCTGACGTGGTACAAATTTTGCATATATCAGAAATTAAAGGCTAAACCGTGCCCTTTCGAATGAGCCCTATGCCGAATTGATCGCGTGCACCCTTAAAGCAGGGGGTGTATTTGTGTTTAGGGGTGCAGGAAAAATTGATCACAGAAAGAATTTAATCTTAAACGATCATAGAAAATTAATAATGCCAAGGTTTTAACTATATTAAAAGTCGCTGATTACGAATCTGCAGTTAGATTTTAAAAATTTAAGATGACGGGTCGAATATGGTGGATATAAAAATTGGACTCCTAGACACAAATACACCCCCTGATCTAAGGGTGCATGCGATTAATTCGGCATAGGGCTCATTCGAAAGGGCACGATTTAGCCTTTAATTTCTGACATATACAAAGTTTGTAGCACGTCAGGGTTCAGCTCTACAATTTTTCAAAAATGGCCAAAAACGCTGTTTTTAGGGGTTTCAACCCCTTTTTTCTCGAAAACGTGACGTGATGGGAAGTTTTGGACCCCAGATTCGTGTTCAGCACGAAAAATCCGTTCGGAAACACCAGGTCCCGTCTTATTCGCAAAACCCTTGTAGACCAGTGTAATTGTTCTTTTAGATAAGTATTACATATTAGGCAATTTTCATAGAAATTTTTGAAATTAACGCTGATCAAAGCTCAAAAAATGAAGAAAAATAGGGGCTCATTAAAATTTAACCGATGAAAATTCCAACAAGCTAAGTCTAACAATATACTGTTATACATCGTTTTAAAGGTCTATAAATCCCCTTTTAAAAACTTGTTCGATTCTTAGAATCGGATGAAATATAGTTAGATAGATAAGTATATCAAGTACGAAAATAACGGTTTTTTGCTTTAAAAAGAGGAGGGTTCAGGAACTATACGGGACCTATTTTCATGTTGTACTCGACCATACCTACAACCTACACTAGGTTTTGTTTCGGGTGTATTTCATGGCTTTTCTTTGTAGCACCGTGTAATTATTCTATTTAAATAAAGTGAAAGTATGATTCGTAATATATATTTTTTGGCTTTCTTGATCATACCTTCTCCTCTATTGATTGGCACTTGAGGGAGTTGAAGCGTATTGAGAATCTTAAGAAATAAATTCTTTAAAAAGTTTAAGCTAAGTAAGGACAACAGATACTTTGTTTCCTATAACAGTTACCGAGATCAGTTAAATGCTCTCAATAAGTCCTGCTATAAGGGTTACATTGCTAATTTTGAAATAAGCATTCAAAGTAATCCGAAATGTTTCTGGAACAACATTAAGTCCATGAAGGGTGTCTCTAATGTTCCCACCTCCGTTTTTTATAAGAATGCTACGGCAGCCTCTTTAAATAAGGCAACTGACCTTTTTGCTGATTTCTTTGCCTCAAATTTTGTACCAGCTGATGAGGTTGATGAGCTAATCGCGGATAGTGATACCAACAATATGGAGTATGCTTCCTTCGATGTAGGCTCTCTGATTCTGACAGACGAAGATATTCTTGATGGCATTAAGAATCTTAAATATTCTTGTCATACAGATGACGATGGCATGTCTGCTATTTTTTTTAAGAATTGCGTTTCCTTAGTAGAACCCTTGAAATGTATCTCCAATCAATCGCTATCGTCAGGCATTTTTATTGAGGAATGGAAGCACACCTCCATCACTCCGATATTTAAAAGTGGTATAAGTGTAATGACAGTAACTACCATCCTATCTCTAAACTAACTACAGTTTCTAAGCTCTTTGAAGTTATAATAAAGAATAGGCTGTTTCATACTATACCGCGCTTAATTTGCTCCAATCAGGTAGATCCACCGTAACTAATCTCGCCGTTTTACTGACAACTCTATTAAAAGTACACGGAATTTTCCAAGGCACTCGATAGAATTTCGCACACGATTTTAATTCGTAAACTTTCACACCTTTAGTTTAATTCGTCCATCCTTCAACGGATAAATACCTAGTTCTAATGTTCTTGATGGCGCTTATTCGAAGACCTTTTTGCTCACCTCTGGAGTTCCGAAAGGTAGTATATTGGGCCCATTGTTCTTCTTAATATTTATTAATGACATCGAGTCCTGCTTTACTACATCTAGGTATCTCTTATACGCAGATGATTTAAAATCTACTCCGTTATTATATCAAATAATGCCGCGCTTCTACTTCAAGTTGATCTTGACAGATTATTTTTGTGCTGTGTTAAAAATCGCGTATTTCTTAACATTGAAAAATTTAACCAAATTACGTTTTCTAAACAATCTATACCGCTACCCACATCATACCGTATTTCTGATACTCGATGGGAATCTCTCAATGTTGTTAAGGATCTCGGAGTATTTTTTGATTCGATTTTACTTTTATTACGCATATCAATTACATAGTAGCTAATTCATTTTCGATGCTTGCTTTTGTTAGACGCAACGTACTGCGTTTTTGAATCCCTATACTCACAAAGTCTTATATCCTGCATTTGTTCGGTCAAGATTAGAGTGCGCTGCCTTTATTTGGAGACCTTATTACCTAGTCCCCATAAACAGGATTGAGTCAGTCTAGCGGATGTTTATCCGACACGCCTTAAGATCGCTAAACTTCTCCGACTCTATCCCATCCTATTTTTCACGTTGTCAATTAATTAATTTAATGCCGAAGAATTTTCCTTTCCGTTTCTTTCATTATCAATGTAATTTCCGGTAATGTTGATTGCCTCTTATTGCTTAGCAGAATATATTTCAATGTTCCTAGCAGAATTTTGCAAGAAATCAATACGATTTCAAGTTCTCTAGACCTTGATCTCTCTATGCCAAAGAGTATTTTCCGAAATCGGCTTGGATCTTATTTAAGTAATGTCAACAATATTTTGTAATATATAATTTTTTAATATGTGTGGTCGATAAGAACATCATGTTCATAGACTTCTTAAACAAATAAATACATATTTATGTCTTAAGATTATGATTATATATTCGCCAGGAGTTCAATGAAATTTATTGAAACATGTAAAATTGATAAGTTATCTGCCGCATTTCACGTGATTGTGTTCCTATCACTACAAATTTGTATAAGTTGTTACAACTTTTCTACAGAACTGCGATAGATGCATTAACATTTTTGTATCTAAGATGAACTCTGTTTTGAAATTGTCCTAGATGGTATAGAAAAGAACAAAAGGGCTGTTACTGATCTTGTGCATATGGTCTTGCATTTGCATATTTCGGTGCATTTGTAAATCCACAACAATAAAATGCAAACGGATACTATGATAGCAAGCTTTAAATTTGCAAATACACATCCAACACCATTTGCACAATATCCTGAACAGCCATTTTTTGAAAAGATTGTAAAGGGATTGAAAAAAGAGAACATGGTAATTTAGATAAACTTATGCTTATTTGAAGTTAATAAACATCATTTTTTTTGCAGCAAAGTTAAATAAGTATTATTTACGATGATAATACGAAGCTTTTCCGGCCAAAATTTTTACTGTAGGAAGATGTTTGACCTAGTTAGAAATTTTAAGGATAATCGAGTTATATTTTTTAATCCTTCCATAAAAGATTCCCAGTTTTAGCCCAAACAATTGTTAATGATGACAGAATAGGAATGCGAAGAAAAAATGGATGAAAAAAGCCTTAGGGTTTAACCTTACCCAAGCACACCGTACGTGTAACGTGGCCAATGTTTTGTGTACCGTTCACATTTTTAATTGAGCCACGAAATGGTTATATTCAAGACTTTAAGTTGACCTCTAGATTTGGGCCCGAATCACGGCATCGATTGAAACTCGTTTCGAAATTTCATTATGAGATCACAGATTTTTCAATGTAAATTGCATTGGATAGAAAACAGCTGTTAATTGTTTCATTCGATTTGAAACGAGTAATCATTCGATAACGGATTCCCTGATTCTGGCTAGGGTTCGTTTTTCGAGATTTAATTAATTTTTCATTTAATAACAGTGGTTTACAATACGTAATGAATTATTGTCTTATATCAAACTACTTTTTATTGTTTAATTTGGTCGATTTCGTATATTCACAACACTTTTCTTATTTGCATTTATGTATATTTTTCTTTTTTTCAGAACAACGGCGCCCAACAATTGGCATCTGAGGCTACTGTTTACATTATGCTCGAAGATGTAAACGATGAGATACCATTGTTTACCGAACGTGAACAGGAGACTGTGCTGGAAGGTGAACCCATTGGCACGAAAGTGACGCAAGTGAATGCCATCGACAAGGATGGCACATTTCCAAACAATCAGGTAAACAAAACGGAGCGCTAGCTAAATGTAATGAAGAAGAAAATCCAAAAACAAAGCAGTAGTTTCTGTAGCATGCAAATACCGTATGTAAGGCCTGCGGGGCGTATTAGTAACAAAGAGCTGTGCATTTGACGCTGTTGAGCGCTTACGCCGCGTCCGGTGCAGTCAAGTATGAGAGCGGTTGATAAGCGACAGCAAGCCACACATCCAACACAAGTCTCCATTAGCCCGCTGGTAAGCGCTGTGCTGAATGTCAAACAGTGCTACATATGTATATAGTATATCCCCGAACCGAATTAACAGCATTCGCAAGTTTCTAAATTACATATGCCTTTTTAGTTTTTGGCAAATTTTTGTACCTTCGTAATTTCACATTTTTGCGTCATCACTGGCTGAAAAGCTAATTAAAAATTCGTATTAGTTGATGCGTATTAAATGGGTTTATCCTTTCCCGAGAGTGGAGGGAGGAGGGTAGCCGAAAAATCGCGTATAAAATGTTTGAGATCGCTACAGCCATTTAAAGAAAAATATAAGTTGAATGAAAAATTAGAAAATATTTAATGTTCATCGGTTTTTGTTTACTTTGTCTTTGAATTAACTTCTCCAACGCCCCTTTATTTCAATTAGCATTTTCAACACCACTGCCACTGTATAGCTGCAGATGATGCCTTTGCCTCCGGCTTTTATTCTCATCTAGCTCACATTTTCACGCTAATAAATGTCAAAAGGTATTACATGCCATGTATACAAAAAAAAATCTATACGATAAGCGACCATCCGAGTGCAGTGGACACGCCAGAAAGTATCCCGAAGAGGGTTTAGGCGTGTGTTCGGTCGCTCAAATTTTTTTATTGTATCCGCTTTGCAAGTTATCCAGCAGCAAGCAACCGCCGTTTTACGCTTATTTCCTTTTTATCGTATGTAAAATGAGGCGGAGATGTAAAAAATTCAGCGTGTAAAATGCATCAGAAGTTAGATATCTCTTCAGTTTTTTATCCTTTTTACTAAATGTCTGCACTAATTAATGCTCGCCTGGAGCACGTAATAAAAAAATTGCTCTACGGATTATGTTTTTTTTCATTAAAATTGTGTCAAGGTAAACAAATTTTATTATATGTGGAAAACCAAAACCGTAAAGAATTAGGGCGGGTTGAAAATATAATTTTTCTCAAATCCCTTGGTAATAGTGAAAATATATTGTATCATAAAGTCTACAACAAGCCTGCAAAATATTGGTATTTTATTTCAATTGTAAGAGCCCGCACATCGACCACCAAATGACCCACAGCACACTAGTCGAATAAGACCAATTCTTGTTAAAAATTTGGGATTCAGCAAAAAAGGTTGTTCATATTATTAGATAATGAACCCATTAACGCAAAAGATAAAGTTAAATATCATTTCTCGCAGCCCTTTAGCCTATCGTTAATCTCAAATTTATCTGTTTTCAATAAAAATTTAATTGTTCTCTTGATAATTGCACTGGCCTATTGTCAAAAGATGTAAAGAACAGCATTAATATTACTGACGTGCATTTAGGTCGCTAGTTCCAAATATTCTAATCTTTTTTTTTTAATATTAGCTATAGTTAATTTTCGCAAATTTAGGAACAATTTCGGTAGCTCAAATAGAAAAACCATTATTTTCACACATCGTGGAAAAATTTTTGTTTATGCAAATGAGTATGGAAACACTGAACAGGCACGACTTCTAGAAACACCAATTAGTTTAGTTATTTTTATGCATACAATATAAAAATTGCAAATATAGGAAAATGATAAAAAAATTTGTTCAAAATTTTTTTATTTTAAAATAATTTGTATATAATCTGAACGATTTTCATCATATTATTATCATAAATCCGTAACACTAACAGCCAATTTCACGAAAGCAATTTAAGTGAGAAATGATTTTAATTTTTTGAATTCTATATGGAAATTGACAGAAAGTAAAAAATCATTTTCAATTTAAATTGCTGGTGAAACCGGCTGTAAGTCTCGCCTTCAATTTGGTAATTATTACTTACCGATCGAGTAACATGTACCAAAGTTATATCGAAAAACTTAAGTGAATCTCCAGTTTATTTCTAAAAAAAAAATTCTCTTCAATTGTATAAATAACCTTTAAATGAAAGAACCGGATTACAGAAAAGTGTGCAAGGGAGTGACTTTTTTCCTTCAAGCTGAATGTATAGCAATATCTTCCAATTGGAGAGTCATCAAAAGGATTTCCCAGGATATGTTAATATGAATTTACCTATAGTCACTTTTTCACATAATGGAATTAACTAAAATATTTGAGTATGTATATCCAAACACTTATTGCACGTTCCCTACTTCCATAAAACGGCAAAAATGTGCTTCTTCGGTGACTAATGAAATCATTCCGCACCAATTTTCAAGACTGCATAAATGGACTTAAAATGGGACTTTCTCACCCTAATTGTATTATGTTAATGTATGTAAATACTTATATGCTTGAAACTTTGACAATACATGTTTGACTTCACCACGATCTTCAAAACTGACCAAATCAGCGTGACCAAGTCCATGGTCCTTTTAATATTATATGAACATCCGAAAGCATTAAAACGTTTGAAATAAATCTCGTCTCACTTTTTTGTATTTATCACTTGGTTGCTGAAGTAAAGAAGGATTGAAAATTCATAAGGGAAAATTATAGTTTTTGTAAGATTTATCTTAATATCTTAATAACTTGTAGACTTATTGAAAAATGATAAATGAACGTGAGGTACTAAATTTAATAACCTTTAATTTGATATATCGTTGTTTAAAGCATATAACTAATTCCACAGATATTACAGGCCAAGGTGCCTCAGTCAGGGCTAACTTTTCTATTTCTTAAATATTCGATATTTGATTACTAAAATCTCGGGAAAACACCTGTTAAATAACTCAGTGAGAGGGCAGGACCAGGATGAATTTATTAACATAAAAATTTATTCAAGCAAAAATGTTTTGTGTAGGCGTCGGGGCCAATGATAACCATCAGTTACCACCTCTGCATGGTTGTAAGTCATACTGTGTCCCTACGGCTTGTAACGCTGTGGCTTTGCCGCTTAAAAACTCTGTAAGAGTTTTTTGGGGGTTTGCGTCAAGCGGCAGTGTTGAGCACCGGTTATGTATTTAAGTTAGAAAATTGGGTAGGTGCTGTGACATAAGTCGCTTAAACACCTGTTTTTTATATTGGACCCAAATGCGTGATTTGAGATCAGTAATTGAAGGTGCACGGACTAATTTAAAAATGGGCAAAGTTATATATATTTATTAAAATTTACAATTTTTACTTAATTTAATTTTCACTTAAATACATTTTTTTCCTAAGCACCTGAATCTAAATAAAATTTATTTAAAACAAGTAAGAAAGTCTAAGTTCGGGCGGAGCCGAACATTAAATACCCGGCGCAAGTATTAAATATATGTTTTTTCACCCTTCCGAAACCTTCCGCTACATGGTAAGCCGAGGTGTATCAATTTTGAGTAAATTAGCGTCCTTCAATTTCGAAATATTGAAGTTTCAAGCATTTCTTAAATTTACCGTTATATGAGAATCGGCCGTTATTTTAGTCCGATTTCAGTAATTTTCAACGTTTTGCTTACACGTGGCAAGTACAATAACCATACCGAGTTTGGTACAAATTGGTAGAACGGTTACCGATATACTTATATGTGATCATAAGTGGGCGGTGCCACGCCCATTTTCCAAAATTTTACCATAAACGTATTTCTTGGTAAAGAGTTGTTGCAAGCATCAATTTTTAATAAATTAGCTTCAATATTTAATGATTTATCGATTATTTTGTATTTCTCTAAATTACCGTTATATGGGATGTGGGCGTGGTTATTGTCCGATTTTAAAAAGTTTCGGCGGTTTTTGATGCTGTACCAAGGCCAACAACTGTGCCAAGTTTGGAAGAAATTGGTGCAGCGGTTACCAAGATATACACATGTAACCATAAGTGGGCGTGGCTACGCCCATTTTCCAAAAATTTATAATATTCTTATTTTTCGTCTAAAACTTATTATAAATATCAATTTTGAGTGAATAATCTCCAGTAGTTACTAAAGTATCGCAGTTTTCGTATTTCTGGAAATTACCGTTATATGGGAAGTGGGCGTGGTTAAAGTCCGATTTCGCCCATTTTCAATACCAACCTACCTTGGATTAAGGGAAACCTACATACCAAATTTCGTTGAGATATCTCAATTTTTGCTCGAGTTATCGTGTACACGGACGGACGGACAGACGGACAGACGAACGGACAGACAGACATGGCTTAATCGATTTCTTTTTTCATCCTGATCATTTATGTATACATTTGTCTATATCTATCTCGATTCGTTTTGGATGTTACAAACAACCGTTATGTGAACAAAATTAATATACCCTTGTGCACAAGTGCGCTCGGGTATAAAAACTAACATGGAAATAGTTAACGGACATTTTGTTTTATAAATGAGAAAACAATAACTGAAAACCCGAACTTAAGAATTTTTCGACTGGGTAATCGGTTATTTAATGTATGACCGAAAAAAGCACAAACCAATTCGAAGAAGAATTAGCGAAATATGCAACCCTACTATTTTAAGAAGATTTTAGATAACCACTGAACTTGCAATATGCCTCTTTCAATGTATTGTTTTTTTTTATCCACTATAGGTCTACTACTACATCGTTGATTCACCGCGCAATGAAGGCAAAGAGTTTTTTGAAATTAATTTGCAAAGTGGAGAGATCTTTACCAAAACCGTATTCGACAGAGAGAAGAAAGGAGCTTATGCACTAGAAGTGGAAGCGCGGGATGGCGCGCCATCAGCAAGGCCGAACAGTAATGGACAACCAAATTCAGGTTAGTAACAATGTACTAGTTACTTACCTATAATACACCCATTATAAAGATGTTATGCTGCGCGCGCAAATTTATTCGACAATTATTCAGATTGCAGGTTGTGTATAAGTTTAAAGAAATTCACCAGTCACATTATTATATACACTAAATAGCAGTAGCCTACATACATATTTATTTACATATACGCAAATGTACATACATATGTAGTTATCAACATCAGCCACTAACATCAACATCAAAATCAGCATCTGGCGCAAACGCCGCCGCTGCGAAAAAGTTTTGCAAGGATAACAAAAATCGCATTCGAGGAAAAGTTTCTTTATGAATTTTATTTTTCGAACTTTGTCATATGCAAATGCAAGTAACGACAATTTTTGGGCAAATAACATTCTGCATTTACAAGTTTTCTACATGAATAGTAGAAAAGAAAGAAAGAAAATCAAAGCACGATAGAGACAGATTGAGCGTGCAAAGAAGCTGCTTGGCAAAAGTGTGAGTTTTGCATTATCTTTTGCTTCATTCAAAATATTTGAATTCGAAATGCCAACAGCGTCGCATCTGAAGTGGATTAAAATCCGGTTCAAAACATAGTTACTTAGTTGATAGTAACCCTTTTCCTAGGCGTTTGATAAATTAGTTTTACAAAACTGTGTGTCGTCTGAAGTTGAAATAAATACTCACCTTAATAACTGCGTCAACATTTTGGATCGGAGCCATAAAGTGACTTAGCGAAGCGGACTATTTAGCGAATAAGTGGATCGCGCACTACAAATTAGACTTTGTTCAACAGGCTTAACTTTTAACATGTCATATATAAAAGTTGCATAATCTCGCACATATCCATGTAAATGTGCGTGAGTTCGATTATGTGTGCCTACCTAATCTATGAACTGCTTACCTTCATATTGCAAGTAAGCGAATGAAAACAAATATTTTTCATATACCCGCTTCTGCTTCTTTTTTGCCGCTGATGTCGATTGGCGTTTTGCAAATTCGTTTACCTTTTGAGCGCAGCCAATTTTCGGTTTTGGCATTGAAATCAGCGCACACGCGTTGCCAATATTTTTTGACGCCCCGTAGCGTACGGCGTGACAAACGTACACCCACAGGCATTCAATTCATTCGACATTTGTATTTGCAGTTGCTGCATTGGTTAAGTTCCAGACTAATGCAATGCTGCAGAGTGATTCGGAGCAGTTTTTAGTGTGCATGTTTGCTTTTATATTACCACACGCTGCACTCAGTTGTTGTTAGGCTTTGATGTTGCTTGTCGTTGGCATTTGCATTCGCATTTGCAGTCTATAAGAATTTTGGTCAAAATAC